TGAGGGAGTACTTGAGTGGAGGCCCAATGTCCTTCTGCTACCTTAATAGTAAACCAATAAATATATGCACATAGATCTATTTCCCCATCCTCATATATTATATTTGCATATGTACATTCCTTTATCTAGACCTCTGTAAATGCCAAGTATGCATTCTCAATGGGAAATCTCATTGTAATTTTCTCCAGTAGGCATTTTCTCTGTCTTGTGAAAGCACACGAGTTTGTTTGTTGTTGAGCATGCTTTCCCAGTACTTCTTTATGACGTCATCTTCCATGAATGATCTTGAATTCTTAACGATCTATACTCTACATGAAGGGTGTGAAGGTTAGCTTGTGTCTTTTTATTCTTTCTTATTTATTACACTCGTAGCTTCTTTCCACATGCCAATACTATCCCAAGCCTATCCATTATGCTCTATTCTCACGAATGTGCAGCTCTGCTCCCCTCCTATACCTGCCTATCTATCACCAGCCTGAGTGCAGGGTGTGGCTGCACTGAAAGGGGCTGGTCCACAGTCGAGGTAATACGAGGTGCTACATTGAGTCCTGGACTCTGAAAATTGGGCTCTGAGGAGGATCATGAGATCTGGAATTGACTCTGCAGTCACAATAGAATTCCTAACCTGTTCTCTGAGCGCCGGACTGGGTATAAGATGGATCTGACTGAGTGGTATACTGGCTCTGGACTGGACTGGACTGGACTGGACTCTGAGTACCTACTTTGGCACTGGGCTCAAGACTGGGCTCTTAGCTGAAGTAGACCAGATAGCCCCGTTTGTGCTGGAAATGAAAGTCAATGGCACATGGGAGAGGTATGGAACGGTTTACTGCAAACTACTTATTTATTATTTCAAAGCTGGGTTGGCAGATCAGGAAACAGGGAAATGTTCAGGTCACTGAAGGCCCTCTGTGCATGGGAATCAAGGAATAGGAGAGGCGGAGAAAGAAAGGGGATGGGGATGGTGCAATGTACTTACTTCCGTCAATTAGCTACTTCCTCCAGTGGTTTCTCTTTCCCTGGGACCTCCCCTGTGAGGAAAGCCTCTGTTTTCCACCTCCCTCTTGACAGCACTGACAACACATTAACAAGGCCAATTCTCTAAGGAATATGGAGGAACTCAAGGAACGTGTCTTCCTGACTTAGCAGGGATCTATCTAAGCAGCAAGGCCGAACAGCGGATGCAGGTCTCATGCTCCTTTACGCTCTGCCAGCAGGAACCATGGGAGTTGTGCTGTCCGTAGTCCAAGGCAGATCACCAGAGGGCCCCAGGAGCCGGCACCCTCTCAGCTTCATTGGTACTTCAGGATTAAGCGGGTGTTCTCATCTCCAAGGAAGAGCCTGTAGGTAAAACAGCACTATAAGGTCTCTGAAATCCTGCCAGTGATGAGACCCAGCCCTCTATCAAATGTTTACAGGCCCAGAACTTCCCATAGAAATGCCTCCCTGGAGCGTTCTAACCACAAGAGCTAGCCACACCCCCGCCTCCACCCCACCAAGGGAAAACGAGAAAAGAGTTTCTTGTTTGGTTTCCTACTCTCTTCCTGAAGATGCTCCTCTCCGTCATTCGGAAAGCAACAGATGGAGGATTTGGGGGGATGCTTTTCATGACGCCAGATGTTAGATCATGAAGGCTCCTGAGACTGGAGCTGGGCGATGGCCCATCTTTAGACGAGCCAAGCCCAGTGCCTGTCCTCTCTCAGATGGTGGGAGACACACCCAACCTTTGTCAAGTCTAGACAGTAATCCCTAGGCTATGAGGAGCAGAAACAACAGAACCTTGAAGGCTCACAAGAAGAGAGCCAAGGGTGTGCAGACAAGTGGAATGGAGAGGGATTTCACTATCTTTCTATTAATATCCTGATGAGCCATTGCTCCACTCCGGAGAGCACGACTAACATGTGTATGTGAGTCACATCCCCTGATGTGCATGCTCGTGAGGCACTATTTACATGTTTTGCTGTGTAAACAGGAACTCCTGGCATTGTATAACAACACCATGAGTAATTACTACCTTCCAAATGGTTTTTTGAACTAAGTCATGCTTTACTCCCAGTAGGCTCATGCTTACGGCCTAGTCAATAAAAGAACCTGGATTAGGCAGTGTCCTCTAGAGAAACAAAACCAAGACACTTATGATTATATATATCAAGCCTATATATATATGATAGGTTTATACAGCAAGGAGAAATATAACAGCTAATTAGTCCACACAGCAGTACGGTGGGCTCAGTTCAACTCACTTTCATGGAACAGTCAATATACTGGAAGTCCTTCACTCATGTTGGCTGTCAGGTCCAAGATCAAGGAAGCAAACAACGAAGTCCTCCCTTGGGCAAGGCAGGCAGAGTCTGCCCACAGGCAGCAAACAGCAGGATGAGTCAGCAACAGTCAGTAGCTTGGGAGCTTAGCAAAGCAGGCCCAGCTGTGATATCAAACTCAAGCAATGCAAGGTAACAAGATCCACCAGCCCCAAGCTCAAGCGATGTACCAGCAGCATGGTGAAGCTGGTCTCAAAGGAGCCTCAAGCTCTAGAGACAAGATCCATGAGTTGGCTTGGCCCATAGCTAGTGTAGCTCACAGGTTGAGGCAGAGAACTAGCTAAAGCAGCAGCATGCTGGTCCAATCACCAGAGAGGCGGGCCTTGTAGAGCCATTTATCTCTTTGCCCTCCAATTAGTTATCTGCTTAATCACACACATTCCCATTGGCCTTGTTTGCACAATAAACCTATCACAGGACCTTACTTCCATGCCCATAGTTACTGATTCAGAAGTGAATATAGCACCCAAGCCAGACCTGTCCAAACCAGGGAACATTAGACCTACAACTTTTGCAGAAACAGAACAAAGGAACTTGCTCTATTTCCCCTAGAGATTTTAAGGTGCCATGACAGAAGCTGGTGAACATCTTTGCGTCTACCAGAGAATCTGTGTGAGCATGAAATTCACACAGAGGGATGTAAAGCCTAGGAGAAAGACCGAGTCCTGCCTGAGGACATGGTTTGAGCTCCAACCTGAAACCGGTACTACCTAAGAACTATCAATTTTATGAACCAACTATTTCCACTACATGATCTAAGCTGTTGTCAGCTGGATTTGTCCCTTGCAACCAAAGATACTAGAGAGAGCTATATCCTTTACCTCTTAAGAAAGCGCCCTCTTCCTTTCTTAAAACACAAAGGAGAGCCCAGCCCTCTAGCCTTCAGTCTCTCTCAGCTGTCATGCCCTACCTGATGAGCACTCCTACAAGCAGGCTGGCCAGAAGTGGGCCCGCCCAGTAGATCCAGTGGAATTTCCAGTGGTTGGCCATTATAGCAGGTCCAAAGGCACGGGCAGGGTTCATGCAAGCTCCAGATATAGTGCCCCTGTAAATACCAAGTCATATGGATCAGTAAGGTCCAGGCTTTAACTGGGTCACCCAGCATCTAGCAATCATTTAAACTACCATATTATGGGAACTAGGGTATATCCCAAAGACAGTACAGGTAAAGAGGTTATTACCACAAGGGAGGGAAAGGGTTAACCCTCTTCCTCAAGCGCATAGCCTGCCACTCCCACCTACCCTTCTAGACAAAAGACCATCAAATAATGCCTGTTTGGTGATGACAGGAAGGGATGAGGAGCTGGGTCCCTAGTTTCTCTGCAATGTCAACTACATGAACTTTGTAGTCATATTGACCTTGATTCAAAATCTCTCCCAGCTTCACGGAAGCCTGGACTTTCCAGGCACACAGCATGCCCAGAGGCTGCATCAGTGAGAACCGATGCAGAAACGCCATTGGGTGAGCTGGACTTTACCTCAGACACACTTAACCTGAGGACTCAAGTCGGAAAACACGTGGTGTCTGAGGACCTGGGAGAAAGCTGTATCAGGATTGTTGAACTGTTGGTGGGTGGACAAACATGGCCTTCCTACATCAATGCCCTACTGGCTGTATTAAAGTATGTATTATGCTAAAT